GCGTGCCCGCCGCCCTGCAGTTCTCCCTCAGGCCCTGGCCTCCAGCCCGGCCACCTCGGGGAGCAGGAAGCAGAAACTGTACCCGAGCGCCTGGCCCGCAGCCCGCCTTGGCTTTCCAGCCCCGCTAGACGCCGCTGGCCCCGGAGCCCTCCCCATTTGCGACATCGTGTTTGTAGGGAAGGAGCGGAGCCGTGGGGTCACCGCGGGCCCGGTCCAGGTTGGCACGGGCCCGCCTGTGGCCGTGGGGGCTCCTGTTTTCCTCGTTTGCGTTTTGTCATCTTGCGTTCCTAACGACGGAGAGAAATGACTCTTGTGAGTGACACAGAAAGACTGCCTTACCCTAGGAAGTGTGACAAGCCATAAGGACATCTGCAGCCTAGCCCACGGGGCTGACCCCCCCCGACAGCGGGCGCACCGAGAGGGCGCCCCACCCACGGCTGGGCAGGCTGGTGTGGCGCCCGCGGGACCCAGCAGCATGGACACTCTTGCACTACACCTTCTCCAAGCCAGAAACCACACTTAATTTCATAAAGAAACCCGTGAAAGTCATCCGAGTGCCCCCCAGTTTCCTGTTGGTGTGTGCGTCTTTTCTCTGTCTCCGCCCTGAGCCTTCGCTAAGAGGAAGGAGCCTGCAGCCTCCACAGGTGGGGGGTGGCACCTGTCACAAGCCACACCCCTAGGGCTTTGGTGGCGCGGCTCCCAGCGTGAGGGGGGCCGGACAGTGGGGAAGGAGAGCAGTGCCGGCCACGTGGTGGGTGGGGGACGCAGCCAGCTCCACTCACCCACCCAGGGTCCAGAATCCGAGTCTGTGTTCAGACAGATTTGGTTCACGTGCATTCCAGGACAGGTGACCCACCGTCTTTGTGGGCCTCAATGACATGAGGAAGCACGTGTCTTCCCAGAGGGTCACTGGCCACAGAAGCCAGAAGAGGAGTACAAGGCTGGTCCCTCCCTGTCCCACCTGGGGAAATGGCCCCTTCCCTTCCCACCACCTCCACCATATTCTTTGGCACTGCCAAGGTCACTGGCACTAGAAGCCACAATAACCTTCTTCCCTAAACCCCTGGCCATCTCCTAACTTGAGAGAAGCCACAGCACCTCCCAGTCAGGTCAAGCTACCTCTGGACAAAACCCACACAGAGAAATGACCAAAATCAGAAGATGCAACACAAGTCAATCTTTATTGAAAACTGCAGTATTAATACATAACAATTCTTGTTACAATAAACGTGCTTTTGAGAATTTTAAATCTGAGCTCATCTACTCATCAGATTGCATAAAAAATTAAGAGTATGAATTGACACCTAATTGAACTGGCTCAGGAAGGATGCTCCATTCCTTGGCATGGACACATGAGTTCAACGCAGAGGTGAGTGATGCTTTTTAACACTGGAAGACAACGTTGACTTAGCTTAAAAAAAGTACCAAGAGAAAGGTGTAAAAAACAGTATTTAAAAATCACTTAAAAAAAAGGAACCGTTTCGTCTTCAGTCACAAGCCATAAGGCTCCCTGGGGCCTGTGTGCCCAGTGACCCTGCCAGGAGCACAAAGCAGCTGGCCTCAGGTCTGGCCCATAGTCCAGCTACTGGTCAGTCTGCACAGGAACCTGCAGGTACAGCACAAACTGAGAGGACATGCCCACCATGCCTGGAAACATACTACTCTCCTAAAGGTCACTGGGTTCCCTGGACAGAGATGCCCCCGCGTCTCCACATCCAAGTGACTCAGTGTTGCTAGTCCCGGGGCTGAAATACAGTTATCCCCACGAGCTCTCTATTCTTTACATGAGTGGGGAGATGGAAGAAAGAAGCCCTCTGCAACACACACAGGACCAGCGGCCAGTCTCCGACCAGAAAAGGCCATGCCCTGCCCCCTCAGCTGTGGTAGACTCGAGAAAGCACAGGAGAGAAAGGCCCCGCACGGGAGGGGCTGCAGAGGAGAGCTGCAGCCTCAGCCTCCCCTAAGCCAGCCATACTCCTCGAGACTCCCTTAGAAAGCACCAGAGAGAAGGACCAGATGTGGCTGCCCATCTCAGCCACACCCCTGCCCCGTGCTGCCGCACCCCCGGAGGTCCTGTCCTGTCTGAGCAATGCCCAGACTGGCAGCGGCTGCATGTCCAACTGCCAGCTGCCGACTGAGAAGGTGCCCCAACTGGTCAGAGTAATACCGTTTTCAACGTCTAAAAAGGACAAGCAAAGCAGCCTGGATCTCCTAAAGCAGGCCTCCGTGTCTACACGGCTGGTACAGGCCAGTCTCCCTCCACTGTTCACTGGTACGCTCAAACACCCGGGGAGCAGCACGGCCAGATGCCAGTACGTTCCATGCTGCTGCAAGGCTGTGTTTCCTCTCGTGACTGACATTCCCCCAAAAGACACGTGCCTATTACCTCATGGGCTCGCTAAGCACAGCCAGACGACAGCCAGCTGGAGAAGTACAGGACGCTCTGACCAGGCACCCAGGCCCGGCGCAGGCCTCTCTCATCTCCTGTCAACACTGCACTCACACAGCCCTTGGCAGTTTCCAGAACAGCAGCTGGCAGGCCGACTGACCCACCAGCAAGATGCTCACAAGAGACATAAGCGGTCTGGAAGCGCCGCCAAGCCCATTCCATGCCTGGCCTTGACCCAGCCTACACTTCCCAGAAGTGGCAAGCTCAGGAGGCCTTCCTCAGCCCCAAACGCTCAACCCCCAGTCAGATCCCCAGCTAGACCTGCCACCACCGCTGACAGAACACACCTTCCCAGCCTCGGGGGAGAAGGTGGAGGACGACCTTGTCTTAAACGTCCATGACGACGGCCATGCTTGCAGAAAGCAGGTCCTTTACTTGCCTGTCTCAGCCTCTGAAAGAACGGTATTTCAGCCGAAGGACTCTCAAATTAGGAATGCCACACACACACGCACACACACACACCAAAACTTCTCAGAACGTGCCACAACATGGTTGGGGACAAATTACGCAGCTTTGTAACAGAATGTTGACCCCATATCTACTCCTTAATTAGTTTTACTGGAAGCAAATTACTACCTATGACAGACAGTCTGGCCACTATTCCTAAGTCTAGAGCCTTACCTAAGAGATAAGATCTACCTTTCATCCTATTTGATAGCCAATGCCCTGACAGTTAAAAATTGGAAAGACTTCTGCACAGATGTATTGTACAATGCAAAAGTATTTCACAAAGTCTCTCAACTTCACAAAAGGGAAAAAAGGTTAAAAAAAACTACAGGAAGAAAAATGTTTATGAAATGGATATAAACAGGGGTGCGCGCCTCACTCTGTAATTCAGCTCCTGTAAAAACACTCACCTGTCTGGGCCCAGTCTGAACAGACATCCATAACTTCCTGCCACTTCCTCCTGAATGCAAACCACTTCCACCTTCTAGGCAGGGGAGGGTGTGTGGGGGTGTGTGTGTGTGCATGTGTGTTTCCATTTTCATCGTGGGGGGCTTTTTAAAAAACAGACACTGAAGTCCTAAGTGTCTTCTCCTCATCTACTGGCACTCCGCAGGGGAAAATGACTTCTCGGGCACTCAGCTGAGCCCCACGGCCCATGGAGCCTGCTGACACTGCACACCATACACCAAAGAGTTGGCACTTCACACACATACACACACACACGTTAAGTGCTCAGGAAGCAATTTAAAGTACTTATCAGTACACATTCTATGTTAATAGACATTAGGAATAAAGAATCTTCTGTTTACAATGATCCATGCAAAAATATTCCAAAACTTCTTATAAAATAAGATGTGAAAAAGAAAACTATGAAGAGTACTTACACTATAAAAAATAAAGTTACCCAAGGCTCAGTGGTCAGGTGTCCCACCCACAGCAGGCAGATGCGCACAGGCCTCGCGGCCAGAGGCAGACAAGCAGAGCCCCCCCTGGGCCAGAGCCAGCACCCCAAACTACCAGAGGGCGGGAAGAGTGCCCCCCCCGCCCAACAGGCTGCTGAGAGGGAGCGAGCCCTCACCCCCTGCCCCACACCCACGCTGAGAGCACACTCTCACCAGGACAGGTTGGGCGTATTTGGGCCCAAGAGCCATCTTGATGTCCGATGTACAAGACCCAGGTTTTAAACTCGAACGTGTTCCAGTGCTGCCCCTTCCTGCTTTCTGTGCTTGCACGGGTCGAAGGCCTTTCGCGGCCACAGACCCAGCTGCCCCTGGTCCCATCCCTAGGAGTCCGCTCCAGCCGGCCTCACCAGGGGGGCAATCCCAGGAGAAGCTCCGGGCTGTTACCTTCCCAGACGTAGCCACAGCCCTGCCTTCGACAAGAAACACGAGGAATTTTAAATAGACTTTTGTTCCCTTTTAATCCCTCTTCATATTAAATATACAACTTTCTTCATGACATATAGCTGAAATTCTTGCCCTTCCTTGCAAGGGGAAAAACAGCACTGCCTACGTGTTTTCAGCGGATTTAAACATTTTCAGGAAAAAAAAGTGGAATGATTTTCTAAGCTAAATAGAGCAGAGGACAATACCTCCTCCAAGCGTGGCTGTTTCTCTTTCACATATCTTCCGTTCAAGGAAAATGATTTTAGTTTGACAGAGGACGTTTCCAATAAAGATATATAAAACATCATCTCTCTCTGTAAGAGAATAATGAAAATTTAGGTAGAGAAAATTGCTTTGCTGATACATAAACCACCCCCTCGCCCCAAACTGTACTGGCCACACTACTCTCATCTTTCACGATGATGCTTAAGCACGTCCTGGTTCCACGGACCGACAGGCCGTGTCAGAAGGGATGCCCACTGGCCAGCCACGCCTGAGCAGCTGTGACCTCCCTCCTCTCCCCATCCCTGCAACTCCCTCCCGGTGTCGTCAGTGCCAAGGAAACAGGCCGCTGAAACCCGGAAGCCCTTGTCCCTCCCTGGCAAGCACACCAACCCCACAGGGCTGAAGAACCTCGAAGAGACTTCTGATGCTCTATGAAGCAACTCACTCTAACATGCAACTTGAAGACTTTGCATAATTACGACAGTGCATTGGTGACACAAGCTGTGAAACACGTTTCCATTCCTTTGAGCTTTGCATAGGATGGTTTTGCATCAGTCACTGCAGGTAGATTGAGCAAGCTTTGTTTCTGTGTTTGTTTTTTTAAACATGCATTCAACTAGAGAGGATTCAGGATAGATTACTACTCCCTGTTATCATTACAGTTAGCTAGAGAATTGCCAGGCAGTCCACACCACAGGATGTGCTTAAGACCAACCCACAGCGTTAGCTGGAGACTAACGGCGCTGGGACCTGCTGGGCCGGGCTGTAGTCACGCTTAGCTAAGTGTCGAGAGCATTAAGAAGAAAGTCCTGGTTGGAGGCGCGAGGCCTGCAGCACCAGCTGTGGAACCCCAGTGATGTCTTGCACGGCTCCGTCCGCACACCTGCAGGGAGAAGACACGCGCAGTCACCCAGCTCCTCTGGCAACGCGGCTCGGACAACTCCGAGGACACGGTCCGCGAGGGCAGCCACTAAGGGCAAGGCGCTGGGCCTGGGCCCCGTTCCCCTCCTCCCCCCGGAGACCCCAGTTCCCACGGGTGCCCAACTTCCTGCTATGGTCAGGTGGGAGATTGGAGCACATTCCAGGTAAGGATCGAGACAGACAGCGTCCACGGTTTAAGCATCCAACGGCTCCTCTTTTCTTCTACTGGTAGAGCCCCAATAAAAACAAACTGGAAACACTGCACTTGACCCTGGATCAAGGGTCAAGGGCGTGTTCCCCATGAGTGAGTGCTAAGTGGGAAACGCACGTCGACCCAAGGCCGCACCAGCCTCCAAGGGCACTCACATCTGCAGGCGATCACCACTGCGGGGGCACGTAGCTGTAGGTGGGTGTTCCTGGGGCCCGGTAGGTGGGCACAGTGACTGGGTGGGGGGCAACAGGAGTCGGAGAGTGAGCAGTCAGCAGGGCACCTGGAAGAAAGAGCAGCGCACAGCACGTGAGGCCTCCCGCACAGCACAGCCACCTCCAGCACAGCTCCGCTCTGCCCCTGAGGAGCTCCCAGCCTGACTGAGGAGGAAGCCACACAGGAAGAGGCAAGACCCTGACCCAGGATGCGGTGAGAACTCTGGTAAGACCCCACGGGCCCGAAGTCCCACACGCACAGCGAGACTGTACCGACAATGTTTTGTAAAAGCCTTTGTGCCTCTCCCTTCGTAGAGCACACGCAATCATTTCTGTGGGTCAGATGATAAATTATGGAACTTAGGAATTAATATCCTTCAGCCTTGAAAAGGAAAGACATCATACTAAGTGAAGTAAGCCAGTCACAGAGGGACAAATACCACACCGCCACTTCCGCGAGGGCCCCCGAGTGGTCCTGTTCGGTGGCAGAAGCGGCGTGGGGGCGAGGGGAGGGGGGCGACGGCTGGGAGGAGGCGGGGACCGGGGGCGAGTGCCTCAGCGGGTGAGGAGCTTCCAACCCCAGGATGATGCGGCTGTGGAGGCTGGTTTCACAACAAGGCGAACACACTCAGCACTCGTGAACGACACACTCTTAAGAGTGGTGGAGATAGCAAGATACAAGTAAGAAACGGGCAGCCGGGCTCGGTGGCTCAGCCTGTAATCCCGCGCCTTTGGGAGGCTGAGGTGAGTGGATTGCCTGAGCCCGTGGGTTCGAGACCCGCCTGGGCAACTTGGTGAGACCTCATCTCCACAATAAATAAAAAAAAATTAGCTGGGCGTGGTAGCGCATGCCTGTAGTTCCAGCTATTTGGAAGGCTGAGGCGGAAGGATCGCTGGAGCCCAGTAGTTCGAGGCTGCAGTGGCCGGGAGCGGCCACTGCACTCCAGTCTGGGCGATAGAGTGAGACTCCAACTCAAAAAAAATAAAAAAATAAAAAAAAATAGAAACGGGGGGCACACTTCATCAGTCAGGGCACTGACCTCAAACCAGGTGGGAGGGGCCAAACTGAGGCCCAAACTTTACCTGTACAATGACCACCTGTATACCTAACCCTGAATTGTACTCAGGTTTAAAATAAAATAAAATAAGATAAGAAATGGGGATTCAAACTACATGAGCTTCCAAGTTCACTGAGAAATTCATTTTGCCCGCAACTACAGAAACCCAGCGACGCCCCGAGTCTACTGTGGACCAGCACGACGTCCATGCAAAGGACTTCACCACTGCGCCCCCAGCCTACCCATGCGCTGCCTCCCTCCAACGGCCTCCCGCAAGCAGCTGCTTCTCTCTGCACCCATCTCCTCTGCCTTGACAGGTAAGCACAGGGAAACCAAGGAGACGGTTTGAGCAGGAACACTCAGCATCCCAGATGCCTTTGTCTCGGGCATAATTGCCTCACACTGAAGCCAAGAAAAACAAAGGGGGGACAGCATTATTCTGCTTGGGCACAGCCCGGAGGTGGCCACGTGGACTCGAAGGCCAGCAGGTGACCTGATCCCGAGACACGAGATGGAGCCCCCAAGGCTTCTGTGGACATGTGCCCACCCTAGCCAGGGGTCTCACTTTTCCACGGTTGATGGTCCTGACTCAGAGGAGGCCTTGGAGTCCAGCGCAGAAGATGAGTGCCAGAACTCCCACAGGCAGCTGTGGCTTCTACCAGCGGAAGACCAGCTCCTAGCTTCGTGAGGCCTTCCCCACACATGCAGCCCGGCCCAGCCCGCCAGGACGGCTCCCGCGGAGGGGGAACACAGGACCCTGCGGTCCCAGCTTCACATGGTCCCGGCCATGGGCTCACGCCTGGCGCCGAGGCACCGGTTTCGGCTCACCCACAGAGAGAGCCCCCTGTCCACAGAGGGCGACCCACACCCCAACCGTCTGTCTGCCCGCACAACCACAGCCGCGGAAACCCCGACCCGGGGTGAGCCCCTCACGGCGCCCCCCGCCCCCGGCTCCGGCGCCAGCACAGGTCAGACCCCGGGAGCCAGGACTCACCTGCGGACATGGCCATCGTCGTCCCAGCCACCATGCCCATGGTGACCCCGTTGCCTCTGGGCGGGGCGATGGGCGCGGGGTACACCGTCGCCGGCAGGCCGTTGGGCTGCACCACCGTGG